ACAACTGTGTTAAACAAATTCTTCAAACATTTGTATTGTGAAACATGATTTTTCTTTTCTTACCTGTCCTTCATAAGCTGGTACAAGTTCTCCTTCATGTACTCAAAGACAAAGTAGAGATGGTCATTCTCTCTAATAACCTCTTTTAGTTTCACCACGTTCGCGTGGTTCAGCTTCTTCAGCGACTGGGGTGACGCATGTTTGGAAAGATAAGAAAAACTGTCTTATCTTTTTCGTATATAACAAGAACACTTTTAATACAGATATCAAAATAGTTAATGTACTAATTGATGAAGTGTAGCAACTTCCACTGGTGCATGGTTATAACAGGAATTGCTCTTCCTTGGCTTCATTTAAGTGTGTAAGCCTGGCTTCTATTAGCTGTTGATTTATACTCAACACAGCTCACTTTATAAGGTAAACTTGTTCAGCCTATAGTTAACACAAATACCTAATCAGCCAGTCCCATAGCAGGAACTCAATGCTGAAGTTCAGACTGAGCATCAGAATGGGGAAGAAAGGTGATTTAAGTGACTTTGAACGTGGCATGATTGTTGGTGCCAGATGGATTGATCTGAGTATTGCAGAAAGTGTTCATCTCCGGGGGGGTTTCCCATATAGCCATCTACAGAGTTTACAGAGAAAGGTCAGAAAGAGGAAATATTTGGCAGTTCTCTGGGAATTATTGGTCATATGTGAAAAGCCAGACTGCATGATCTGTGACACTATCATGTCAATATGGACCAAAATCTCTGAGGAATGCTTCTAGCACTTTTTTGAAGGTGCTATACCTCAAGTGGCCAGTGAGTGCATTCAATCAATGATTTTCTTAATGCATTACCAATGTAGTAGTGGAATGCCACCTTTTAATTTTCCATTGTACTCTTATACATTTTGACAATTTACATTTGCGTGAACATATCTATCTATTGGTCAATCTATGCAACAGTGGTCTGCGAGTAATGCTGTTATAAGGTGCTTCAAACAGGTGTATTAATATTACCATGCTTACCTTTACTTCTCTTAGGTTCATACATTCCTCCCATGAATAAAACTTCCTCTTCATTCTATGGAAGACCATTAAGGAATGTATACATCTTATTATCAGATCATCACATATGTAATCTTTTCAGGCCATATCTATTAATAAACATTATTATTACTTATTAAAGCATTTACAAGACTCCTCTGTGCATCTCCATCAGTAACTTGGAAAAGTGATGAATGTAATGTGATAAATATTCTAATCAAGATTTTTCTGTACTTAAATTAAAATGAAAACATTTTCTGATTCTGATGACCTACTCTGCTTTTTCACTGTTATCCAATGTGTGTTTGTTTAAAACTACACACCTGCTGTTATACGCTTGGGTTCTCTGATCAACATTACTTGTCCTTTCTTCTGGAATTACATAAGAGTTACAGAATGAGCCGATATCTATCCACAATGTCAGCAACCTGACACACCCCTCTACTTTCACTCTCTTTCACCGTCACCACATGTATTGTCTTGCATGGTAACCAAATGATCAACCAGTGGACGCACGTCCCCAGTTTCGCATCTATTATTGAACACTGCTGCTATGTTGCTGAAACAAAGCAATGTAGTTTGTTTGTCCTGGTGATGGCAGGTCAGGGGTTTCTAGCTTTACAGCACATCTGTTTCGTAGTGTCACAACAAACATTAAAGAGAACAACAAAGAAAAAGGCTGTGACGTAAAAGGAAAACAGTCATATTTTGATTTCAAAGGGAACAATTTCTTTCTGCATCACAAATTTGAAAAAAAAATTTTATTAAAAGATCAACATCTACATGTAAAAACTTTAACAGATACACAAACACTTGGTAGAAATGTGATTTTTCACTATGTTTTGTGAGTATAAAGGCTCTTTGGTAGCAATAGGGGATCTACGTTAGCATTAATTATATATCTACTATAGTGCAAACAAGATTGTGATTTTATTTTGACATTATTAAGACTCGTTGCTGATCAAATATGTACATAATATAGGGCTGCATGACACCACAACAATAAATCTCATAATATTAATATTATATTAATATGTTATAAAGGCTGAATAGGGAGAGACAACCAAAAAATTAAAGAATGAGCAACATCCTCACCTTTTGATGGCTACAAGCTCTCCAGACTCATTGCTTCTTCCCATCATCACACTGCCATAGGTGCCATCACCCAGCTGCTTCAGGGTGGTGTAGCGATTCATCATTACTCAAAACAGTTTCATCAGCCTCTTTATCAGCTAACTTTATTATTGTGTGAGATGGGCTGTAGAAAAACACAGCCGATTCATCAATCAAATATCCTTCTTCTTCCTTCAAGTATTGTTCAGTCTTTGTTTCATCAGCCAGAATTCACTTCTTTTTTCCCAAAAGAAAAGATCGTAGTTTGGCCAATGTTTGTCTTTGTCAGCCAGTCCTGGGAGTTTAAAGCTCATTTTGCAGTAACTGATCCATGTAAAAAGGTAGGGATCTCGGTCACGCAGTTGAACTAACAGCCAAGAGACAGAAAAACATGAAAAATTGTCAGCAATAAATACAACCGCAAACAAAAGATCACATAAATCCAATAGCATGCCAAAAAACTCTGTCGACCAGGATTTTTAAACAATGCGAAAACAAAGACATGCTAAGACCACTTCTTGTTTTTCCCTCAACGGTAGGATTAGGTGTGTGTCACACTAGAGGCTTCAACATGACCACCCAAGGGAGATGACAAAGCCAACCCTAGTCAGATTAGGCCAACAGGGATGTAAATAGGATGTTACATCACCATCATGCTTACCGGTATCCACTACCTTGCCCAAGCACCCTGCCTGGCAAGAGGATTTGAATGACGCCACAGGCCATCGTAATCACTGGTCTGATGTACATTCAGCCATATAGACCTCCCAAAAAACTTACAATTACAACTAATATACAGTGCCTAACAAATTTATTAGACGACCTGTCATTTCATCAAGAAAACAAAGTAAACACAAAAATATTTTAGAAATCTGTCCAAAACCTAAAAATAAAATTGTTATTTATTAGGCAAATAACATATAACATATTTTAGCTGGCATACTGGACTTCTCTGAGAAGTCAGAGATTAATCATACATAACACAAAAGCTAAAAACAAATTTTTCTCTTCATGAATGCAAGTAAATGGCATCTTACTCAAAAAATAATAATGTGCTTTGCTATTTCACCCTGTTTTTCTGTAAAACAGTAAATTGAAAATGAATGAATAATGACAATCATTATAATTTAGAATTAAAATGATCATTTTAATTAAAGTGTGTGTGCTTTAATGATGTTTCTGTAATAGTGGATTAACCATTATAGAAACATAAAAAACAATTTTAGAAATTAGATGGTGGTGGTCTAATAGGTGTGCTAAGCAGTGTACTTTAATCAAACTACCAAGCTGCGTGTTCTTCTCGGAAATAACGCACAGCTATCTTCTTTTGTAGGTTGCAAGTTTGTGCAACTGGGTCATAATCACACATGTTTTCTGTAGAATGTGGCTTGAATGTTTAAAATAAGCTGTGAGATAAGCACACAGAGTTTTATATAGCTAGTGCGATAGGGACTCCCTAATTAATTACACTGGAAAACAATTGCTCTGGCCATTTGACTTTTCCTCAAGGAGTCATTATGCAACCACTGTAACATATTAATCGTTACAAAAAATATTAATATATGATACAACTAAGACCTTCAAAATGTGACACTGTAATGTCACATTTTGTCACTGAGTAAAAATAAGCAACAAAACAAGGGGAGGGTTCAGTCGCATATGGCGATCTGTTGTGAAGGGATTTAAAGGGAATTAAGATGTATCCAGGCCACGTGACATTAGAAAGCTAATCAAGGTCGACTATATTAAAAACTCACGTCTACAGGCAGTGTTAAAGAAACCAATACTTCTACTCACATAATTCTTAACTTTTGGTTAACTAACAGCTATCACACGCATTCAACCCCAGCAGTCTTTCCATGAAACGAATAAACTACCTTTACTCTAAAGCTAAAGCTATAAGCTAAGACTGCTTAATGTAAAAATATTAAGCAGACTATTTTATCGGGAAAAGAAGGTGAGTTGGCATTTGTTGCTGACATATCAGACTTAACAGTACAGTTCCTCGACCATTTTGTGCAGACTCTTTCTTGTGTGTCCCTTCTTCTTTTTTTCCCTCACTTTTAAACTCACCATGTAGGGTCGTTAGTCCCTTCCTCGGCTGCTGTCCTGCTGATAGCTTCAGATAAAACGAACGTAGCTCTTACAAGGTGAGCGCGCGCGTGTGAGCGTGATTTCTCCCCATGGAAACGTACACACAACCGCGACGCTTCTTGTAGCTGCCAAGTGTGGAGACGGCGCCCGCAATGCTTTATGGTCTTTGTTGTCCTTTGAGAGGTATGGCGTTAATAGCCTGTATTCAAATAGGCTAACATTTCTAGAGTAACTTAGGGATGCCTGTTCAATGTGGACTCTTTTTAATGTAAAATATTTTGAATTACAAATAGATAACTAAAGTGAGAGCTATACGCAAGATTTTTATTATTTCTTTCTTTATTTTATTCTACTTTTTCAAAACACGAATGTTCTTTCGAATAAGGAGAAAAAACACGACTTGGTCGCAATTCGAGGACTGCACCAGTAGATGACGCTGTATGATTGTAGAGTGACATAGATACATAGTGTACATAGATAGTACAAATCTACTTCGTATGGCATGTACATAGCCTACAGCTCACATTAGCGGAACAAAAATGTCACCGGTTGTTTAAAAATGTTTATTCAGTGTTTATTGTGTAGGAAATAATATTCTAATAATAAAAAACAAATTACATAACTAACAAGTTCATCCGTACAAAAAAATTAATAAAATGGTTTTTAATATTGAAGTAGACTATAAGTGTTACTTATGTCATTTGTCACCTGGTCAGTCACGTGATCAGTGAGCTAATTAGTGCCTTAGTGGCATTCTACCCGTCCTAAATGTCATGGTTTGCCTAGTGCGGTAGTGTGTTCAACCTGCCGGGAGGGGAGGAGGGATTTCACCCTAAGAGGATTGCGGCGATCGTTAGCTGCCCGCTGGCTTTGTCAAGGCATGCCGGTTTGCCGGTTGGAGTCCAACCGACAACAACGACGTACAGTTTTCCTCCCAGATACTCGGCAACGAAACCGGTTGGACTTGAAATCATGCGTATCGAAGCAGCGCAAAATCGATCGTGACAGTCCAAGATGACCTATGGTAGATTTTACATGGTGGGAGCGCATGGAAATCCTTCACCAGGAGTGCATCAGTACCAGAGAGCAGTCTCTTGAGGGAGTTATTGCTGACAGGCGGCTCCCGATATGAAGACCAGACCTGCGGGGATCGGCAATGTCCATGCCGACTGGATGGGTTCGCTCCCCTCCAAGCTCAGTGCCATGCCCCTCAAACATCTAGCGGTGCCAGGTGAGTCCACAAAGCGTAAAGATATTTAGTCAACGGAAGAAGGAAAATGTGCTGTGGTGATGTTGACTAAAAATAGACCTAACCCCACCCTCACGCCCAGCATAACAGGGGGGGAAACACTGCTGATTCCTTCATCACCTACTGATGCAGACGGAATCCTCTCTTTTTTCACCTTGATTTCTTGTTTGATTTCGATTTAAATTTTTAATTTTCCATCACCAGCAGCAGCTCTCCCTCTTTTTTCCAGGCTCTCACGACTCTTTCACTTTTTGGGTGGATGTGCATGCTCCCGTGGGCCCCGATCAAAAGGTTTATGTTAAGTATCTGGCTACCATGTTCAGTGTCTTAGCCAAGAAAGTCATGGTGAGGTGGTCCATGACACAGGTACTGGACTCAAAATCACTGCAAT